GTCCAATCCTGCCAGTTCCGGGCACCCCTCCTCCTGGTGCGGGTCGGAGCTCACCCCAAGCCTGCTGTGGCGGGCTGGGGGCCGTGGGGCGAGCAGGAGCACGGCTGGCAGTGCCCCCGAAGCCACCAGGGTTAGCTCCAGTCGGGAAACATGTGCTGTTGGGACTTCCCTGGTAAGGTCCATCTTAGGGCAAAACGAGACGATGGGCTTGTGCGGCGTGGCCGTGTGCTGCCCCTCTGCACGGGGCAAACGCGCCCCGTTCGGTGCCGGTGGGTGCTGCTGTGTCAGGCATCGCCGGGGGAAGGGAGCGACCGCACCGGGGGCTTTCCCCACGGGCGCTTTGCTGCGTTAGACACTTCTGGAGATTTTGGTTTGCAGCACAAATTTTCTCTTTCTCGCCTTGCGCCCTCGGCTGTGGCAGCGAGGACGGAGAGCAGCGGTGCCGTGCCACTTCGACTGTCCCCAGGTGCCACCTCTGCCACCCCACTCGCAGTGCTGTAGAGGTCCCCGGGGACTCCTGCAGTGCTGCTCGCCGAGGAGGGTATCCTTTTGGTATCCAAGAAGACAGCAGTTTATTTTATTTTATTTTACTTTAAGCTAGGTAGTTTGGACTTGCTGGCGCTCACGTGCCCGTTCAACTCCAGTACTTCGAATCCTTTCTGACGAACACTTTTCCAAAAGCACATACCCTCCAGAAGAAGCAGGAGGAATGTCTTCTCAATCTCTCTTCCCTCCAGAGTGGGAGACTCCACCACCTCTCTGGGCAGCCTGTTCCAGTGCTCCACTACCCTCAAAGTAAAGAAGTTCCTTCTCATGTTAAGATGGAACTTCCTATGTTCAAGTTTATGCCCATTACCCCTCGTCCTATCACTGGGCGCCACTGAAAAAAGACTGCTCCCATCCCCCTGGCATCCTCCCATTAAGTATTTGTATGTATTAATAAGATCCCCCCTCAATCTTCTTTTCTCTAGAATACATAAATACATAAATGCCATCAGATGTCTGGCGTTCACTTTGAATGGACGGTATCCTGACCGCTGGGTATGAGACACTTGGTGGATGTTGTGTCAGTCCGTGTGTTTCATGAGGGACTTTAGAAATACGTAATGAAGGACATAAACAAAAGAGACTTCTTTGCCAAAAACGTCTTTAAAAAAAGAAAAGATACACTAAATTCCAAAAACCCCTACAAATGTAGGGTGCCCCTTTCCCTTCCCGGGGAAGGGACGTGGAGGGGGACACGGGCAGAGCCAGGGCTCCCGTGTTAGTGGCAGAGTTGGAGGCTTTCGTCGCAGAGCTTGGCACCGGCACGCTGCTCTGGGGAAACAGTCAGTTCCTGAAGGATGCTTAACAGATTTAAATTCATGTCTGGATTGACTCCTCCGTTCCCGGGCAGCTTGTTGGATGTTGGTGCAGCTGTGCCACGCAGCGGAGGAGCTATGAAGGCACCTCAAGTGCAGGAGAGAGCTTTGTTAGGGATTCTTGGCAAAAGCCATCCCGGGTGAGGCAGCGCGTGGGAACCTGCTCATTTTCTGGGAAATTCAGCGTTGCTGAACGTGAGGCTGAGCCTGTCATCTTCTGTCACTGGCTGCAGAATCCCACCTGCTTCCACCGAGCTGGTCCCGCAGCGTGCCCAGGGTTGGGTGCACCCACGGTGTTATCTTTTCTCAGGTCTGGAAACAAGCCTTGGCTCTTGATTTTTGGTCTGGTTTTGACCTGTAACTTTTAAAACTAATTTCACCCAAACTTCAGTGAGTAGCTGGAGGGGTTACAAAGCTCATTCCGTCCCTGCTTTTCACAACGCTCGCTGGCCGGGAAGGGGGAAGAGGCGCCGGAGCTGCTCCCACGGTGCAAAAGCTGTAGCTGGAACTCCTCGTGCTGTAGTAGATGTGTGGGGATCCGCGAGGGCGATGCAGCTGCCCCGGCTGCAGGAGAAACTTCTGGAGCTTGGCTGTTTGCAGACGTTCAAATCAATCGATACCAGGACACAATGTCCAGCAAATTGGACTTTGCTAGTTCTAGGGCTCGTCAGTTTGTGTTGCTGTGACAGCGCTCCCTCTTCTCTCACTAAATAAGGCGCCTGGTTTGTCTTCCCACAGCCGTTTCCTGGCTGCAATGTAACTTTCCACCAAAATTAAGTGATCCAAAATTGTTTAATGAGATAAAATAAGGTACTATGATGAGAAATGGTTAAAAAAAATCTTTGCATGAAATATTTTTAAATTCTAATATTTGTAAGACCTCTCTCTTAGGTCACAGGCTATAACTCACTGTTATTTTAGAGGCAGTCATTTTCTCTAAGCAGAACCCACACTTCCATCAGTTTAAGTTTCTCGAAGTGCAGAGCAGCTGTACTCAGGGCCGACAGTCTCAGGCATATATCAAAAACCCCTGGGCTGTGGAGTCCACGGGGAAGGAAACTTTCTTTCATTTTCAGTATTTCATTTACTTTATGCATCTGAAAAGATTCTTTTGGTTTCCTCCAGCACGACCTCAAGTTTCATACCCGCGCTGCGTATGAAAACCAACTTGCGTTTAATATCCAAGGAGCTGCTGTGAAAAGCGTGATGAAAGTAGAAAGTGCAAAGGGCTTCAGCTCACTCCCAGCCACGGGCCATCTCGGCGCTGTGGATCTGGGTCTGGTAACCCGCTTATGGTAATGTGGTCCCAGTCGCAGGGACGGGGTGGCAGCGGCAGCGCCTGCCCCTTGTGGCACCGCCGGGGGGGACAGTCGTGGCCCCGGGGGAGAGGAGACACGGCGCTCACGCGGGCAGCTCTCCTCCGTGGTGCCTCCGTGCCTTTTGCTGCTGTTCGCTTCTACAGGGGTAGAAGAGTTTCTATGGCGAAACGGGTTTTATTTGCAGTCGGTACTTTGCTTGCTCTGCTTTAAAGTAACCAGAAAACCATGAATTTCCAATTGGAAAGGTTCCCTCAGCGTTGAGCTGTGTAGCATCAGCTCTGGAATGCAGCACTCCTACACGGCCGCTTCCTGGGCTGTCTGTGCTTACGCGAAACACACAAAAGCCTCCGTCCTCATTAAAAAAAAGTATCTAGTCACTTGAATTTAAGAATAGCCCAAATTCAGCCAGACTTGTCACGTGGCGTGGCGTGGCCGCTGGCCGTGTTGTCACCTGTGTGGCGGTTGAGATGTTGGCATCCACCGAGGCCGCTGGAATTGGGCGATCCCCAGAGCCTCGGTAGGAAGCGGCGTTAGTGCAGGGCGCAGCTTCTTTTTTTGGCAAGGACTGGGGAGGACAGGTTTTATTGTGAGAATATGGAATTCTGATAAAAATCAACGAAGTGAACGCAAACTGGGGTGGACAGCGAACAGATGAGCTCTGCTCGTGTTATTTTGCTCAGAGGCTTTGACTTGAGCTCTTTGAGACTGCAGTTTAGCTTAACGTGACATTATTTTTACTCATATACATATAAAACAGGAAGCGCGTTCAGATAACATCAACAGCCACTTCCTTATATGTACAAAAATAAAGTGCTCTGACAGCAGCAAAACTGACACTTTGATTTTAGAGAGGATAGAAACCTTTGTGCGTTGGCAGACCCACATGGGCGTCGGACGGGACCAATGAGGAGCGCAGGGCAAAAAGTTTAAAAACCAGCGTGGTGCGGCGTTGGCTGTACCTGTGTGCGGGCGCCGACAGCGGGAGGGCGCCAGGGGCAGCGCTGGTGGCG